AATTAAACATGTAACATTATTCTCTTGTAACCAATCATAATAACATACTTTGAATTTTTTAAATGGCTATATAAGTAATTTCCCAGAAAATAAAATTTTCACATCATCAGTTACAGAAAGTTGATTTCTTTCCATCAAAATATTTTATCTCTGCTCTCTATCAAAAATAAATGCCAAGTCTAGGGTACTACCGTTTCAGCTAAGCCTTCACTACTTGGTTAAATTAGAAGATTTTGGAGGCGCACTTACCAGATGGTGAACTAACTACTGCCTGAGAATAAAGTCCTCACACATATGTAACAACTCTGCCAAGCCTCTGGCTTACCAACCAATGATTATGAAATGGTTTTCTGGGAACTCAGAAACTCTACTGTATCCCAGCCAAAAGACTCCTGAGAGTCACCAAACTGGTAGCCAGCTGATTCTCAAAAATTAATTTGCTTACACAGTGATGGTTGGGGCTCAAAAGATTTAGGGGAAATAGTAAAAGGAAATCTATTTCTATGGGGGTTTTGACCTTTGTCATGACCAAAAAGCAAAATTTTACTTGATCAGTGTATTTCTTGGCTCTGTCCTTTCTAAGGATGCTAACATTGGATGGAACATTTTAAAAAGGCTTGGTGTGAGAACAGGACACTGCCATACGGAGAAAGCAGCAAAAGAGAAAACATGAAGGCTCTGCCAACAAATTAATTCAGCAGCTAACTTTTTTTTCCAAATTGGTTAAAAAATAGCACACACAAAATGATAAATATATGTCCAAAATATAAATATAAAATATTCTACACATAAATAAAATTAAGTATACTCATGATTACCTCTATAATTAAACATTTTTACAATATAATTTTCATGTCTTATCACAGTTTCATTTTTATCATGAACAATAAGTACCTAATTTTGACACATACTGGAATGTACTGACCACTTATGTAACTTAGTAAAGTAATACATTTCTAGATTGTATTAACTAAAATGTACCTCTTTTGACAGAAGAGTTCCTTTCTCTTTTCTTTTAAAAAATATTTTTGGGAATTTATTTTAAAACTATAATTAGAAAGGACTTTATAACGCAAAGCTTTAAGAGTTGTCTTTGTTTTCAAAGATATTATTATTTAATAAAGCAAGGTCAAGATGACCCAGCACCCATGTAATGAAATGTGGGCAATATTCCAGTGAACTTGGGTTATGCTGACAGCCAAAGAATGTCAGGAATCACGGTCTTGTTTTAAGTTTTACACTCCAGTGATCTGAAAAGGTGACAGGGTACACTTTCTAATACCACACAGGGGTTCTGGTTACCTACCTCCTGTTTTCTCACACAATGCTTCATAGAGCCAGAAGACTTACTGTTCTTGCTTTAAAATTTACCCTTCAACACCACCCTGCAGGTGTTTCTTACATCGCATACTCTACTTCTTTCTAAATACTGTTTCATTAATTAAAAGCCCACTTAATTACAGTACTTAATTTTTTGGCAGTGAGCATTTCCAAATCATCAACTGGTTTGCCAAATGAGAGTTTGGCAAAACTCCCTTGAATCTCCCTTTCTAAAGATTGTTAGCTTATTTTTTTAAAAAAGAGAAAAAAGCCATATGGCATGATGCATCTGATGGCAACAGAGAAGGCGATGGAAAAAATGATGAATGCTAACCCAATTAATTAATCTAAGAGAAAATCAGTATGTGGGAAAATTTTGTGTTTATGTTTCATGAATAGCATTCGTTTGAATATTTATGAATCAAATAAAGTAGTAACCCCCATTATTTTTAAAGAATGGAATACTACTGTCTGGGTGCCCTGCTGCCAGATGTAAATGAACTTATTTGGAGATGACGCAGCCATTGCTTGGAGGAAAAGGAGTGGATGCTCAGACCCCTGACTTTCAGAGTAAAGTGGGGCCTTTGGTTGGTCTGCTGCTTGACAGAAGGGGCTGGCTTCCCATCACCCTGGCTTGGGGACCCCGGGTCCGAGCTGAGAGCAGCGCTGGAGCAGAGAGATGGTGAACTGCCTTTTGCTGATAGAAGTTGTTTATGTAGCTGGCGATCAACAGAGTGATTTCAAGAATCTAGAACAAGAAAAGCAGAAGTGTTATAGTCCTGAGAAGTTCTCATCACTTCCAAGAGAGAGTGAAGAGTTGGCCATGGGAAGTCTCCATTTGCAAGTGCCCAAGCTACCAGAATTCCCTTTTAACCAGATCAAACAGTGCAGTACAGTTGATATTTGAACAACACAGGGGTTAAGGGTGCCAACACGCTGAGCAGTCAAAAATCCATGCCTAACTTTACAGTGGCCCTTTGTATCCACGGTAATTCTGTATCCACAGTTCCACATCCGTGGAGTTAGTAAGCCATGGATCATGTACTAATGTAGTATTTACTGTTGAAAAATATCCATGTGTAAGTGGACCTGTGCAGTTCATACCTGTGCTGCTCAAGGGTACTTGTATGTTCAGCACCATCAAGGCACTGACCTATTTTTCCATTACTTAAGCCAGCAGAAAGAGTGATAATTAAAAAAAAAATCAAATTTAGTGGCAGTATTAGAAAATGTGACAGTCATACAATTCTATCAGTTATCTTAAAGCCACATTTGTGAATATATGAATAAGAAATTCAGTGTATTTTATCAACTCTTTATTTAAACTAAAGCACTGAGTGTGCCATGATCTGCACTTACTATCTGCCTTTACTTAAGTACAGATTTAATTAAGAGACATATACGCCATTTTTTTAAAGGTTCAAATTCTAAAAAAAGTAGTCTCTTTTGGTTGACAATTTTAAGATGGTTATAGTTTTAGAAAAATTAATTTCTCATGTTTTTTCCTAAAATTGGAATTACATGTTAGAATGTAGCCCTTTTATTTATTGCTTTTACTTATAGACATTAAAACTATAGCTTGCTAAAAGTAGTAAAGAAACAAGTATATTTTAATCATAGAACCTCACTCTTCCCACTAAATAAATGAATAAAGCAAATTACTCCAAGTAAATAAGATGATGTGTATAAAGTACCTGACAACAACTACGTAGGCCAAGACCATCTATTTTAAACCTTCTGTATACCAGGCACTGGGCTAAATACTTTACAGTTCCTTCATTTAATTCTTAAGCAAAAAAAAAAAAAAAAAAAAAAGTTAGCATCATACCGGTCTTTAGATGAAGAAACCAAGACTTAGAAAGATGAGGTAAGCCAAAATTTGGATCTATGCTTGTTTGATTATAAGTAAAGCATGTTTTCCCATTGAGAATTTAGTCTTTGCACAATATATGTTTTAGTATGGGAAAAAACTAGCATACAACAGCGAAAAGGCTTCTACTCACTTTGGGTTTTGCCATGGCAAAAAGTAATTTCTCTGTTGGTTTGTCCTTTGAATGCGTATTGTTAATGACTATCATAAAATCATCTTGATAACCTCCAAAGGTCATTAGACTCTTGTACACATAGCTGACTATTAACCTCTTCAAAGAGAAGAAAATGGAAATATGTTACACACTTTATTTTCAAAAAAAGTTGAGAGACGATTAACAACATTTATCTCCATTAAAATGTGGATACAATCAACCAACTACAGATTGAAAATACTTTAAAAAAAATTCCATCAGGTTCCAAAAAGCAAAATGAATCTGCCATGCACCTACAACTATTTACATAGTATTTACACTTTCTATGTATTAGGCTGATTATCTTTCTATGTATTAGGTTGAATCAAATGAAACTATGCTTTTTAAGGTAAAAAATGGCCAAATATTGGCAAATCCATACAGTTCACCCTGATATATATATATTTTGATAAACATAGTGTCATGCATAACTGCTTCTTTTTAACATTTTGCTTCTTTTCACTCAACATGTTATGAACATCTTTCCATGACAACAAATGTACTTGTATAACATTATAAGTAATTTTGTAGACATTTATTTAGATTTTATAGACATTACTTATCTCCTATTGAAGAATACGTAAATCTGTTAACTATCATAAACAATACTCCAGTGAGTATTTTGGGACATATTTCATAACACACATACCTAATTATTTCTTTGGTCATAAACCTCAACAACTGAAACTGCTATCTCAAAAAAGTAAGGACAATTTTGAGACTTTTTCCAAACTCAGAAAGGTTATACTTATTTACATTCCCAGCATCACAGTCTTGCTAATGCTGGAAATCATCATTCTTTTGAATCACTGCCAATCTGACTGGTGAAAAGTAGAATCTCACTGTTTCAAACTGAATTTATTTGATTATTAGTGAGATTAACATTTTCAAATACATTTATTGAACATTTGTGTCTCTTCTGTGACTTGCCCTGGCCCATTGGTCTACTGGTGTGTTCATCATATCCTTACTGATTGATATGACATCCATGTTCGTAAAGGATATTAAACCTTTGTCATATATGCAGCAAATAGTTTCCCAATATACTAAAATAACTTTTAAAGTATAATTCAAAGGTGTACAGCCTAAAAGTAAAGGAATCTGTTTGTCTAATAATGAGCTTGCAAGACTGTGAGTAAACCATTGCATCATTGAACGCCTCAAGTGCTACAGCCCAGCAGTGACTACTTCCTGGCCTGTACATCCATTTCCTGGGATCTAGGAATTGGCTTACTTAGCTAAGGTAACTCAATATTGGTGTACAGTTTCTGTTCACCTTAAGTCATTGATTTTATAATCTATCTTCCAATGATCTATTCAAGAACTAAAAAGCATTCAAGGAGATATAAATGCCTTCAAAAAAGTTTTTCAACAAGAAGAAATAGTTACTATAACACTAAAGGATGGTCTGGTTTCCAAGAAATCCTCAGTGATCCTGACTACAGCCCCAGGTAGGCAACCCACAGGTGAATTTAGCAATCCCTGCTCACCAGGCTAAAAATAAAGTGCAAAATTTTTAAAGTAATGTGACACATAGAAAATATGATAGAAAATGAATTTCAGATGAATAAATGAATATATACAAAGCTTGTTTGACTTCATATTCAATCATGTAAAAAGGTCTAAGATACTGTGTATGTACAAGTGAACTGGTAAGTGATATTATGAGAAATTACAAACATGGTTTTAGAAGCCTTAGTGAAACAGAACTTAAACTTTGGTGACTAAAATTTCCACTTTAATGTTATCGTAAAGATTTTCATTTTACACAGGAAACAATCCTCCTAACACTATAAATGAAGTCATTTTGCAAATACAAATGATTGCAATTTACTCATGGTATCGTAATATTTTTCTTATACACAATATATATATAACCTGTCTAATCTTACTTTATTTTTATTTTTAAATTTAAAAAAAATTTAATTTTTAATTTTTTTAATTGAAATACAGTCAGTTACAATGTGTCAATTTCTGGTGTACAGCAGAATATCCCAGTCATGCATTTACATACATATACTCATTTTCATA